GATTTTTGATTTTTGTAATTTCATCATTCTGCGAATTGTTATAAAAAGACCGTAAGTTTGTTACAAACTAGTCAAATTATTATATTGTTAATAAATCTAGAATCTCCAGAATCTCAAACTCCAGATATTCAACCCAACGTAAAATCATCTTAAATTCCAAGCCCAACATATTCATAACCAAACATAATTAAATTAATCCAAATCTCAAACCTTAGTGTTTGCTAGCAGATATATCATCGCTAAATAATTATACAATAATGAGTTGGCTAAAAGCTCAAAATAGACAACTTAAAAGTGCTAGAAAATCACGAAAGTATGATCAACAAAAAGAATTACTTGACCGCCTAATTTCAACATTCAAAGAATTAGAAGATAATGATTTTAATTATATAATAAAAGGAGTCATCGAATCTCGAAAAATGAATACTTGCATTCAAGTAAAATGTAACGATATACTTATACGCGTCTTTAATTTACCTAATCACCAACTTTCTGACGCATTGATGCTTTTTCAAACAATGGTATATCCTCGAGGAAATCACAAAGGAGAAATAATTTCTACCTATTTACAAAGAAAGGCGTGTGAGTTTATAGGAACCAATTTGCATAAAAATGATTATACTACTACTATTAATGCGTTAGAATTAAAAAATAAAAATTTAAAACAAGAAAATCAGTGTCTAAAGAGGCTTAGATCTTCTTTCGGTAATTGTTCATGTTCACTTTCCGTAAAAGTAGCAAGAGCTAAACAATCTAAACAAAAACAAATTTCAAAAATTCGGGCTTCTATTCATAAAGCAAAAAAAATTCGTCCTGCACTATTCCAACGTGTAGCAAGTAAATTATTTAAAATTCATAATAATGAATACAATGCGAAATTTGTAAAGTTAGTGACTGATATTAGTACTATAGGACGAACCTCAATAAGTGCAACAATAGAATGCACTAAAGCCGTTTATCAATTCTTAACCGGAGAAACTCCACAACGCTGGGTAGCAGGAGAAACTTTAGCACGGTGAAATAATGAAATAGCAGCTTTGTCTTTTATTCAAAATCGTCCTATTGAAGTCTCTAGGTTTTTTGGTTACAGAATTATGGTTGATGAAAACACACAGGAAGAAATGAAGGTGTTAATTATTTGTCTGTTATATTGGAATCATGTTATAGAAAAACCTGCAATCACTGTAATAAAATTAAAAGACCTAACACATTGTAATGCTGAAACGGTTTCAACTACAGTATTTGAAACATGCCACCAAAAGGGAATTGATTTCAAAAAATGTCATTTTTGGCTAACGGATAACATGGCTTATATGTCTTCCGAGGTTAATGGTGCAGTTGCTAAGTTCAATTCGTTAGCAACATCTAATTCGTTTCGGATTCCTTGTGGGTTGCATGCAACTCATATTGCTTTAATGAATTTCGAAAATATAGCATTTGGAAAATTAGATGCTATTAAAGGGTTATCATTAAAAGAGCATCCATATAATTTACTTAACCTTGCTTTTTATCTTCACGATGGTTATAATCTTTCGGATAAAGACAGTCCGCTAAACCTAAAATCCAGAACATTGCGTGAACTCTATAAAACTTTGTTCAATTTTGAAATGACCCAATACCAGCAGCCTATTCATCAACGGTGGTTATATGAACTTAAAACTGCCAAACAATACCTTAATAGGCGCGAGGTTCATATTAGCTTTGCACAATTTTTTATTAAACAACTTGAAAAGCCAGAGATGTTCCAAAGTCGTATTTGAATAAGTGGCACATATTTCTTAAGTGGCTTACGGATAAGTGACTTAATCTCCAAATACGATGTCTCGTTAAATTCGGTTTGGAGTTTTATGAGCCTATTTATGATTTTCTGACTGGGTATGATTCAATTCCACAAATTCACCATCCAAATAATGTCAACACTCTTCCATCAGGCAATTGCGTATACGAAATGTCTGATAAAATAATGTTATGGATCCAAAAGCTTCAATATTGCCTAGAAAATATTTATGAATTATTTGGCAATGAATTAACCAATACTGAACGTGAGTTGAACACAATAGATTTTGAAAATTTCCGTACATCATTATATACTGGAATCGAAGGTGCATTAAAAGGATTTGTTAAATGGATAGAAACCTGGATTCACTTACCTCTCAGTATTTGTCAATTAGGTGGCGTAAATGGACCTGAATTTGCTCGTGCTTTTTTAGCTGTATTTTTTAATAAGAATTTTTTAAAGGTTTCTACTTTAAACGAAATTTCTTATATTAAGCTTTTGAAAGAAGACCTGTCTAATGAACGTTTGAATACATTCAGACTATTAGAAGCATTAACAAATCATGATTTTTTTGAAGAATTTGAAGCTTTTGCTGATTCTGATATAACAGAACCAGCAAAATTTCCCCTTGTATATGAATTTATTAAATACTGCATATGGAGCATTGTTGTGCATCAACAACAGCTAGAAGGTCTATTCAATCATTATGATATGAAGGTTCATCCAAACATAAATGCCCAATTACAGGAATCACGTATACAACTCTCGGGTTTGGACGGCGGAGTTCAAGAAGTTTCACAAGACATGTTGCGAAATATCCGGAAAGAAATTAATAATTCTAAAGGTACTGAGCAATTAAAAAACATTGAGATTTCTAGAGAAGAAAAGGCTTATGAAATTCTTAATAGCTTTCTTACCTGGCAACGTAAAAAAAAAGCTACAAACATGATAAGCTGTACCATACCTTTAGTTTAATTTGTGAAATTTTTCGAGTATTTTTTTTTAAATTTTAAAAGAATATATAACAGTATTATCTATAAATACCTTTTTAATATACTTTATTATATTTAATGGGGTCTACTCGATCGAAACTAGTAACCTGGTTGAGAAAAAGTTTACAAAGCAAATGTAGTTAGTTACTAAACAATAAGTAAAATTCTAACGTTGTTACTATGTAAAGGCATCTTTGATTAAACGTTTTGCGTTTATAGAATTAAAAAATGTCAAATATTGCGGGAGAAATTAAAAATGAAAGAAAGCGATTTTTCTATAGTTTTTACTATTGCGTGAAGATCTAAAAAATTTTAATTATAAAAAAACCTGACTAATGATCATCACTGTATCACCTGCATTATGTTTGTAATTAGACTTGCATCGAACACCCCAGTAAGTTATCATATTGCAGATTTTGCGTTACACGAATACAAATTTATCACTATACAATAAGACTATTGCTTTAAAATCGATCTTTAAAATGATTCAACTTATCGCTAAGACGCGAAATTAACTTGAAATTTCACCATTTGCTTATATAAAGTCACTACGTTTCCATTTCTTTTATTAATATGTGGGTTTTGAGACTGTTTTGAGCGTTCGCTATATAGAATATTTGAAAATTCACTAAGGCCAAAAAAATTATATTAAACGTATAAGTCGAAACTTAGAAAAATGATAACAATGTAACTGACATAGTTTGATTAAATAGTACAGTAGATGCGACACCCCAGTATTATATGCTAAACCCCATGCAATTTCTATTTTAAGGGCCTTCTTAACGTTACTCCAAAATCAATTATATCTTAAAAGTTCGGGTTGTACTGTATATTTCACAGCCATCGTGTGAGTTTATGTCTTTTATTCGGATCGTATCGAGTATACCACACTACAGCTGTGGATTGTACCATGTGGCTCGAACCCTTGGAAGTCATCAAAGCCAATTAGAATAAAAATTTCTATAGAAAAAATTTTTCTAGTGTTATTTTCTTCCAATTATTTTAGCGTACAAATAGGTACGTTAAAATGTACGGTTTAAGGGACAATATCGTACTATGTATTGATATTATCAAAATCGCTTCTAATAAAAGTTGGTGGAACACTTGATCTTACTTGTCTTAAGCATTTATATGAAAGTTAAATATCCAAAAAATAATCTGACAAAATTTGATTAAAATTTCAATACGTCTTATTTAGAGATCGGGGAACCGGTTTTATAATTCGGATAAATTGGATAAATTAATGCGATAAACTTGAATTATTAAACCGGTTCCGACCTCTAGTCTTATTTAGATTAAAAAATTACTATTGTAAAATAATATAAAAACTTGTATAGCAATACTTTGTTAATATGGGTATTTATTAATTCCCAATTTTATATTTATGACGTAATAACATTTTGAAAATAATCATCCATATAAAATAAATAGCCAATCAAAAACTAAATTCTATTATGCTATCTTTACTTAATCATGTTCAATCACATGAAAAGACTAGATAATAAGACACGTACGTACGTACGTACGTACGTAATATAACTTGAGAAATATTAAAAAAAAAAAAAAAATACCAAAGTAAAAAAAAATTAAATCAATCGAATAAATATATTTACTCATGTCTAAATCAATTATTGACTAAACAACTTTGCTTGATTCTTTTATATCTCATAGCTAATTTTTTTTTTACTAAGTTACTATCCAATCTATAAATGCGTATATGCTTTCTAATAATACAGTAAGACCTCCCTAAGTGCACCCTCTCGGGACCATAGTCAAAAAAAAGCAAAACATGCACTTAAAGAGATAGTGCATTTATAGGAAACAAAATATATAATGCTCTTATAAGTTGGGACCAAGTTATGCTGTGCATTTACGGTACATGATACCGTAAGGTCATTTTCAAGGCAAAGACCCCATGTGCGCATTTACTGTAGGTTCTGTATAATTGCCAGAAGCGTAGCGGTTCAATGTTGTCAATTGGACTAATTAATTGATCAATTGGACATATTCTAATTGGGCCAATTGACAAACTGACTTACATTCTATGCACACACTTTGATAACATGTCCAAATGCCTGGTACGTAAAAATAAAAGTCGTGTAACAGTCTTTTTCAATAAAAACAATCAATTTATAATAAAAATAAAATTTACATTTTCATTCGATCACACTATATAATTTGGTTAGACTGCCGGATTTATTGCAGGTAGCAATATAATCATTTCTACCGGGTCAATAGTCATACTCGAGTTTTTCCTTAAATGCTTTATGACTAAGAACAAGACAGAACCTAAACTAAATATAAATATAATCTATAAAGTATAAAGAAAAAAAAATTTGTTCTGTACATATATGGTGATATAACACAGCGGAGATATAAAATCTTAATTTATCACTGGACTTATACTAAAATTTGCGTATATGAATACAAATACTAATAAAATAAAGTATATTACAAAACCTCTATATTAATGCCTTTTTCATAAATTTTAGCATTTTTCGACCTTTTTCATGTGCTTTAAAACTTCTCCTTACACGACTTTGTATTCCGAACTGCCTTCGAGTAACGAAATTCCAGTGGACCATAAACCATGACGTATGATAAGCAAGACCCTCGTAATATTCAGCTGCAATTTTATGAATTTCGGGGAGCCTTGTCCACGGTACCTAAAATACAAAATAAAGAAATTAATTTAATATAAACATAGAAAGAATTAATAAATTTCGAACCTACTTTTGTAAAATCGTGGTGTTCATTATGATAACCAATATTCATAAATAATTTATTGAGGCTTCCATAATAGGAATAGGTTTCTTGACCATCATCAAACGTATAATGTTCTTGTATATGGCGAGCTGCTACCGGATGAATGCTAAAACCAAACCATAATGACATAAATAAATATAATAATCCTCTATAACCACAATAATTATATATTATAATGTTTGTAAAAAGGGTAAAAACGAAATTTATATATTCCCATAGCTCGAATTTTTTAAACATTGATATATTACGAATGGGATATATTATAGGATAGAAAAATAGCCATAATAATTTAAATACAGTGCTGCAACCGAACTTTTTTTCCCATTCTGAAGGCATATCTGGATCTATTTCATTCACACCTTGAAAAGCGTGATGGTTTAAATGGTGTCGACGAAAAGACATGGATATTGGTATTGGTAATGCTATATTTGCGATAAGACCTATAATACGATTTTGAAATCCTGTTCTCGCTGCGAGGCAATGTGTAGTCTCATGAATTATTATACTATAAATCTGTGTCATACTCCCTCCGAGTATAAATGAGACAACCAACATTGTCAAATGCCAATCGACTAGTAAGCGACCAAATATATATGCTGTCGTCACCTGAACTAAGACTCCGACAATTGCAATATCTACGGTAAAGGTGTCATATCCGTATAGTCTTTTAATTTCTGGATATTGGCTTAAAATTGTAATATTCCTCTTCAAATGAGGCTCGTCTAGGTTGTCATTAACAAAATCTTCGTCAACGTACGCGACATTCCTTCGCCAGCTGCCAATATAGAGGGGATGCCTATAATCATAAGCATCATTATATTCGTGCTTTGTAGAAGGCATTTTGTCTATATTATAGTTCAGAATTTTATTAGACGCGAAAGCAGTACAAGACTAACAAGACGATAATTCAAGGAAAATAACAAAAATTTTCTCAAAATTGTATTTTTTTTAACTATTTTGATCACCGTTACTCAATTCGCATCACGTGTTTACAATAATCATCCCACATTACTTTCTCAAATGAAATTGCTCCGTGAAAATCTGCAAGCAAAATTTGAATGGTACATAGTGGATCGTATGATTTGTTTTTTTTCTTTTCAAAATTAAACAAATTTGATTGTCGTACATTTTTTTTCTAACTTTTCTACCCAATAATGTGTGATAATAACTCTATTACATAATTGATTTTTTTTATTTTTTTATTATTTTTATAATTATTTTTTTATTAATTTTCGGAATGGTTTACCACTAAAAAAATTCTCTATTTCGGGCATTTTTTTTACAAGGCAATTCCCAAAATGCCGGGTCGGAATGTATCGGTGGCGTGATGGAAATTTCTTTATTTAGTACCATAACTTTATCGTATATCTTTCCTATCTGGGTCAAGATCCGGGCATGAATCAACGAGGCTTAGCTAGGAAACCTGGCATGGTGACTACTGGAATGTCACCCCTGCCATAGTGGCATGTTATTACCTCAAAAAATAAGGGTGGCATGACACTTTATATTAATTATATTTATTAATAAGTAACGAGTCAAATCCTTTCATTAAATAGAGAAAACTAGTATAATAGCCGTATAATTTGTATAGTATATATAATTAATAAAATATCGTATAATTGGTATAATATTTTGGTGTAACAATGTTAACCAATAGAAATCTAGATAAAATTATGAGCGAACACGTGACAAACTTGTACGTATTTTCTTGGTATTATAGGTAAGTTATTAAACGGTAATTATACGGTAAAATAATCTGAATTTCTACCAAAATTTATTATACCGTATAATTTCCATCCTAATAGAGATAGGCTTAACATATTAGCATATTATTTATTCTTAATTTTTTTTATAATAATTATATAAATAAGATTTAATAGCTTTGTAGTAATAAATAGAAAGTTGATTTAGTTATTTTTTAAATTGGTTTAAGTCAAGTTTTTTAAGTTGATTCCAAGCTTATTACAATAATCACATGATGTTTGAATAGATATAAAAAAAAACCTTTCTCAATTTCTACTAAAATATAAAAGTTCATATATATAAGTATACAATACATGCATTGACTTGCATCAAACCAATAACACTTATCTTATTATATGATATTTAACTTGAGTCCAAGATTGAAACAACATACTTCAAAAATCAAGTAAGTTAAAATAATACATTTAACATTCCTAGTAATAAATATATAATTTTAAGCACAAACTGATAAAAACTTTTAATTAAAGCATGATTTTATATTGGTATACATATATGCAATATAAAAAAATTATATTACACAAAACAATGGCATGCCAGGGTGGCACCCTGGCACAAATTTTAGAAATGGCATGCCAAATAAATTTATGCGCGCCAGGTTCCCTAGGCTTAGCTCGGCGAATCCTGTTCACACCCCAAATTTTAAATTATGCATATATATATTCCGATATATATTTATTATATTGATGTTATTATATTTAATGATTATTAATCATATTATATATGTGTCAATACGTAGTTTACTATGCATGCACCCTAAATTTTGGTTTGTGAACAGAAATTGCCGAGATGGTTAACTCTCAGTAAGATTATCCTTAACAAGGGTGAATAATCCTTATACAGAGGATAGGAACTACTAACAAGGGTTCTGAACTCCCTAAAGCTAAAATGTATAAATACAAATCTAAACTAATAAAGAAGATATCCATCGTTCTGCTTGTTGCATAATAGATAAAATAATAACGTATAGTACTTTACTTTTTAGCTAATTACCCTCATTAATAATAAATCGAATCCTTTATAAACATTCACATAATTATGCTACGCTCGAAGCTAATCTGTCATGTATAAAGCATTGCTCTCCCAATCCCGATCGTAACACCGGCATGAGGAATCATAGCCAACGTATTCTATAGCAAAATTACGTACTTTTACTTTAATGAAGGGGTTATCATTTCATTGGTAAAATTTTAGAGGTCTTGGCAAAATTAATCAATTCCGGCCAATCCGACCAGGACTCCGATGTATTCCGACCCAAAATTTTGGGATCCTCCTTTATGTTATTACTGTGCATTGACTTGTTATCTCAATAGCAGTAAAATTTTTTTTTGAATAATAAATATATTTAAAAAAAAATTTGTTATTGATGGTTTTAAGGTTTTGAATCAGTATTCAAAGTGTTAAAAAATTTATTTTTTAGTGTAAACCATTTTAAAAAAACATCATAATTCAAGGTTGGTTAGGAACGAGTGCTTAACCTCGTGACACTAATTAAAAATAATAACGGGGATGAAATTTTACTTAAAGAAACGTATTCTTTTATTACTTCAGTAATCATACCGCAAAAAAAATTGCCACGAAAATATACTAATCATGTGACTCCAGCGGCTAAGCAAAGAAAATTTTTTGCAAACTCTGCGGTGTTCTGCATTTTGCAGAAAATCATCGTCCCTGGGCTAAAACCAAAAAACCAATTTTTGGGAATTACCGTAAATCGGGGTCATATTGATCTACATACCACATAACTTGTATTATTATAAACCACTAAACCCTAACTGTATCAAAAAAAAGTAACCCTAACTCGTGCCTGGCTTTAAGCGTCCCCCATAAATCGCCATATAGACTACCGGGTATGCTGCATTCCACCGATTAGCTACTTCTGCAATTGGGTATGAAATGTGCCTGCGTCAAACTATATTTCAAATTTTTTTGCAACAATAGTTTTACGCTTATACATTGTTTTCGAAATAGACCCCTTTAGCGTTGCTTCTTTGACAGGTATATTGTAGTATGTTATAACTAATGTTGTTAGCCGAAATTGTTTTGAGCTTGTAGAAAAATTCTAAATTATGCCGAATGTTTAAATAATGTCGAAATGTCTAAATAATATCGAAATGTCTAAATTAAAAAAAAAAGATATAAACTTATTTATTAGCAAGTATCCAAATTTGTTTATTTGAATCCAAAACGGTTACCTGCCCTATCAAGCATGTTTAATTATACCGTTTGCCACCGCCAACAGTACCCAGGGCCTTATTCAAGAACTCCATTTTTAACATTGAATACGTAGTACTCATGAGTACTGTGTGTGAAAAAACGGGTACTATATTTGAGGATATATCATATTAAAAATGGTAAATCATTATAGTTGTACCCAGGCCTTATTCAAGTAACAAGTCAGTAGGGATGGTGAATAATAATCATGAGGGGGTATTATTTTGGGGGATACTGTAGGCGTGGCCAACGGTATATACTTTTCTGAACAATATCTGCTTGAAAATTTTCCCACATTCTATGCGTACTTTTTTTCACACGGTACGCACTATGCTAAATGTTTATAACGGATCTGGATTGTTATCAATTCAAAAATCAACTACTTTTAATGTACAAGCCTTGGATCTGGATTGCTATCAATTCAAAAATCAACTACTTTTAATGTACAAGCCTTTAATCACCATATTTATTTAAATTTAGAATTTTGACATTTTGACAACAATATCATGTCGAAATATATTTCGACACAAAATTGTCTAAATATTTGACTAAATAGGGTATTTCGACTAACATGAGTTATAATGTATTTAGCCAATAACAAAAGGTAGGTAATATAGTATCCATGGATAAAAATGAATCTAATCATTAATTGGTGCATTTTCTGCTTGTTTGATGACAAATTTTCGTTAAAATGTTTTTGTAGGTTCATCCGAATGATATCAAATTTGAAAAACTTGCACTGTTTCTGCAATTAATTAATCTATAAAACTTTTGATTCATAGATATCCTTTTTTGGCCAAAATGAATATGCAATTTTAGATCCCAAAATATCATTCGATTTCTTGGCATAGAAAACTTGCTCAAAATAAATGAATATTTTTTGGTGCGAACTACACAAAGAATAGTTCAATTCCTATTACGTTCACTATATAGGGTAGTCAATAGAACCCAAGCAAATTATTTTTAGTGATTTTTTTTAAATTTAAATTCAAATCAACAACAATTAAACCAAATTTGATAAAAACTTTTATTGTAATTATATATAGTTTATCCTATAAAAAAAAGTGGTCCGTGAAAACAGTGTATAAGCACGTATAAAGTGATACGGGGCTAATGGACCGGCTTTGTACGGCATGTTCGAGTTGGCACGAAACGGTGAACCGTATTGATCTTGATCTGTATTCCCCGTGCCAATTTTATGTGACTTTTGCTCATAGAAAGAAATTCGTTTGATTGGCTGGTGTAGATCAATTGCACGGTAACTTATTTATATGGTTTAAAAGTACTTTTTGAGGGCATGACGTTTCACTAACAAAAATTCACCGCAAAGATCATTAATAGCTTTAGAAGAACGTATCCTTTTACAGTGCAAAAGAATCCCCCAAAACTGACGAACTTTACTTAGAAGACAAAGTATTCTACCGTTTATTGCGTTGGATTTAAATAAACTTTTTTATCACCAACTGTTTAATAACTATTTAAATAGGAATCATCTTATAGTAGAAAGAGATCTGGGTTAATACTTGAATTTGGGGTTTGCCAATCGTAATGAGCGTTGGGTTATAGATTGTATACTTATTAATAAGTTCGAGTTTATTCACAATAAATACCACTTTTACTCCACTTTACAAGTATCTAGCTATTCTTTAAATATATGATTCTTTTTCGTATATTTAATAATTTATAAATTTCTTCAAATGAATTTTTTTTTTTGTTTCTTAGCCGTTAGAAAGCGAACGAATCTTTTAAAATTATGTAATTTGATTGGTTAATCATCACGTGTGATCACGTGCAAATCCATAAAAATTGACCAATCAGAAGAATTTTTTCCTATGAGACTTTTGCAGCAGTTTACTAAGCAACTT